GGGCCATCTTGGGCCGTCTTGAAACCTTCTTGGGGCCCCAAGAGGCCCAAAGAGCCGAAATCATTGATTTTCCATTGGTTTTTGTATGTTTTTGGGCCCCTCGACCTTGGGGTCGACGGAAGTGGCGCGACTCCGGGGCGGGGGTAGGGGGGGATACATAATAATGTAACACAATGCAACACGTGGCAATTATGCAAGTTTTGGATACATTGGATACGTTGCATTAGGGCTTCCGCTCCGCTCCACGACCTGCCTCCGGCAACACGTCACTTCCGGACGTGGATTCTATAGTTTTACGCCACATCCGCCGACCGCTATATAAAATATTGCGCCTCCAGGGCTGCATTTCACGAGGCTTGTCAGAATCATGACACGGCGCTCGACATCGTTCCTGTTGCTTCGTTGCTGTTATCGTACCTCTTGGTGCTCTTTTGTTGCCTTTTGGTGGCATCTTGGCCTGTCTGCAGGCCATATCCGGCCGCCTCGAGACATCTTGGGCCAAGTTCTGGGGCCTCTTGAGGGCTTCCTGGGGGTTTCTTGGAGGCCTTTCAGGTTCTCTTGGGGGTCCCTCAGGGCCTCTTGGGGTGTTTTTTCCCAACCATCCTGTGGTGTTGGGTCCTCGTTTTGAAGAGACGGTGCCCCGCGTTCCTCTCCTCCTTCCTCCTCCCCCTCCTCCCTCCTCCCCCTCCTCTTCTCTCTTCCGTCAGAATGATCATCTGCAGCATCATCCTCATCCACATCCTCATCCTCATCATCGTCTTCATCATCGTCCCCACCGCCCATGTCGTCACACCCCTCACACGTTTCGTGGCCCCATAGGGAGCTCCACCGAAGGTCCCACTGGGGGCGTTCGCATGCGTCTCCCCCACCCAGGACAGCGTTTCGTGGCCCCATAGGGAGCTCCACTGAAGGTCCCAACAGGGGTGTTCGCATGCGTCTCCCCCACGCAGGACAGCGTTTCGTGGCCCCATACATAGGGAGCTCCACCGAAGGTCCCAGTAGGGGTGTTCGCATGCGTCTCCCCCACCCAGGACAGCGTTTCGTGGCCCCATAGGGAGCTCCACCGAAGGTCCCACTGGGGGTGTTCGCATGCGTCTCCCCCACCCAGGACAGCGTTTCGTGGCCCCATAGGGAGCTCCACCGAAGGCCCAAGTGGGGGTGTTCGCATGCGTCTCCCCCACCCAGGACACTGTTTCGTGGCCCCGTAGGGAGCTCCACCGAAGGTCCCAATAGGGGTGTTCGCATGCGTCTCCCCCACGCAGGACAGCGTTTCGTGGCCCCATAGGGAGCTCCACCGAAGGTCCCAGTAGGGGTGTTCGCATGCGTCTCCCCCACCCAGGACAGCGTTTCGTGGCCCCATCGGGAGCTCCACCGAAGGTCCCAGGTGTTCGCATGCGTCTCCCCCACCCAGGACAGCGTTTCGTGGCCCCATAGGGAGCTCCACCGAAGGCCCAAGTGGGGTGTTCGCATGCGTCTCCCCCACCCAGGACAGCGTTTCGTGGCCCCATAGGGAGCTCCACCGAAGGCCCAAGTGGGGGTGTTCGCATGCGTCTCCCCCACCCAGGACAACGTTTCGTGGCCCCATGGGGAGCTCCACCGAAGGTCCCACTGGGGGTGTCATTTCGGCACACCCCTCACACGCTTCGTGGCTCCATAGGGAGCTCCACCGAAGGCCCCAGTGCCCGCGGCCGCATGCGTCCCCCACACCCATTTCGGCACACCCCTCACACGTTTCGTGGCTCCATAGGGAGCTCCACCGAAGGCCCCAGTGCCCGCGGCCGCATGCGTCCCCCACACCCATTTCGGCACACCCCTCACACGTTTCGTGGCTCCATAGGGAGCTCCACCGAAGGCCCCAGTGCCCGCGGCCGCATGCGTCCCCCACACCCATTTCGGCACACCCCTCACACGTTTCGTGGCTCCATAGGGAGCTCCACCGAAGGCCCCAGTGCCCGCGGCCGCATGCGTCCCCCACACCCATTTCGGCACACCCCTCACACGTTTCGTGGCTCCATAGGGAGCTCCACCGAAGGCCTCAGTGCCGCCGCCCGCATGCGTCACCCCCACCCATTTCGGCACACCCCCCGCATTTCTCGCACGGCAGGGTCATCACCACGGTGGCGTGCCAGGGGCGCACCATGCGCGAAGGCGACGGGGCGGGGGAACGGCGCTCCGGGGGCGGCCAGACCTCCGGGGCGCGAGCAGTCCGCGGCCAGACCATCTCTCGGTCCTGTGGACTCTCGCCCTGGGCCGTCGGCTGCCCGGCGCGCTGCTCCCTCGGTCGACGTCGCCCAGGCGTGATCCTGGATTGCGGCCGCCACGAGGTAGGGAACGGCAAGAAGGAGGACGACGACTGGTGGCTGGAGCTCTACGTGCTGCTCTCGCGCGCCACGCGCCACGAGGACCTCCTGCTCATGCGGGCGCCGCGCATCGAGTTCTTCCTGGCAGGGCCGCCGCAGGGCTTGCGGAAGCAGCTGGAGCAGTTTGCGGCGCGCACGAAGCGGTGCAGGAGGGAAGCGACGGCCCTCGCCAGGGAGCTCGGCTTCACCGAGTTCATCCGCGAGGCCTGACCTGAGGAGCGTCTCCCCCGAGCCGCGCCTTCTCTCGACTGCCCGACTAATTGTTTGGCCTCGCGCCGCGGACGACCCGCGCGCGTCGCTGGGACCCTCTCGGGGCGACCAGCGCGCGTCGCGGGAACTCCGTGCTGCGGGGGGCCCGGCGCCTCGTTCGCCCGTCGTCGCTCTGCCCAGCGGTCAGAGACTTGCCCGCTATCAGCCAGCCAGTTAGCTAGTCAGCTCTCTCTGCTTCGCGCAGCGGACGACCCGCGCGCGTCGCTGGGACCCCGCCCGGGGCGACCAGCGCGCGTCGCGGGGACTCCGCGCTGCGCTGCGCCCGCAGCCTTGGATTTTGGAGTGCGCGGGCAAAGAGGAAGGAAAAGAAGAGCCGAAAGCGGGCGCGATCCTCGCAAGAGGCGTGCCGACATGGGCGTCGCGACGTGCGGACGCTGCCGTCGGGGTTCCCGCGGAAGCTGCCTGCGGCGGCCACGCCGAGTGTCACGTGTGTTCGGACAGGCATGCTCGACACTTACACTAGGCGGTTCCATGATCGCATTCATGCAAATATATTCACTCGCGCGCAGACCCATTCATACTCAGATTCCCTCGCGCTCTGACTCACCCGCGTTCTTTCTCTCGTAATCAGATCAATCGTAATCCTTTGCGTTGTGTGCCCCGCCACATTTCGGCACACCCCTCATGCGGTTCGTGGCCCCATAGGGAGCGCCACCGAAGAAGATACTCCCAATTGCGATACTCACAACTGCATATGGTTGGGTCCTTCGCCAGGATAATTGGGCTGGGCCCCCCTTGGAGCCGTCTGGGGGCCCTCTTGGGCTGTCTTGGGGGCTTCGTGGGCTGTTTTTGGATCCTCTTCGACCTCTCTTGGGGGCCCCTTCGGCCGTCCGGGGGCGATGTTGCAGGTTTCTTTACCCGTCTTGGATGTTGTGAAAGCCGAACAGGCGAGTATGCCATTCCTTTTTCCAAGGGGGTGGGACGATTTTTTTTTGCTGGGACCCTCTTTGGACGCATGTTGGGGGCCTTTTGGGGCTTCTTGGCAGCTTCGGAGGCCGTCTGGAGGCCATCGTGGGCGTCAAGGAGCGATATTTCGGCGACTCGTGGCCCTCTGTGACCGTCTGGGGATCGTTTTGGTGCCTTCTTGTCCCCTTTTGGAGCCCTCCGCTCCCCCGTGACGCGTTCGGTCTGGGGTCGGGCTGGGCCTGGGGGCTTGTTGTTGTATGATTTTTGGCTACTCGATTATTCGGTCTCTTGGGCGTCCGAGAACGCCCGAGAGGCACCGAAAACCGCTGCAAGGTGACATCAAACAGGTTCCTGACACTCTTACTTAGAAGAGCCCCAAGACCGCCCAAGAGAGCTCTGAAACTGCCCACAGAGCACTATGACGGCCCAGCATTGCCCCAAGACGCCCATTCAAACCGTGACCCGTGACAACGGTTCGCGGCATGGTCCCCCCCAGAGGCCGCCAAAAGGCGCCAGAGACGTTTCCAGAGGCGCCCAAAGAGCCCGTAAACAGCTTTCGCGAGGTCCTCCGTAATCTCGCCTCGGAGGAGCTTCGGCTAACAAATCTGATGAGGACAGTGAAGGCTTCGCGGGGCAATCAAGGCGAGAACGCGGAAGGGGAAGAGGAAGAGGACACATGAGGGAAGGAGGAGGGGCAACACAATGATAACGGTGATGACGATTGATCTACCTCTCATTGATCTACCTCTCTGTCCTGATTGATCTACCTATGATTTATCTACCAAGAGCGATCGTCATTATGATTGGCCTACCTCTCTCTCCTTCTGCCTGCATGCTTGACCAAGATGCATTGTGCGAAGCGCCAATGCAGTCTCGTATGTTATGTTGCATCCTCATACAACTTGCACATCTATTGCATCATGTGGCCTCCCGACATCGCCCACGCCGCAGAACTCACGGCACATGCTCTGCATCGCACCACATTGCTTCCACCATCTAGCTTCCACCACATGAGTTGCACGACACATGTTGCACTTCGTTGTCTCCACCACTAGCTGACACCTCGTTGCTTCCACCACATAGGTGGCACCACATACGTGGCATCCAGTGCACGAACTCATTGTTTGAGGTCCACGCTGGCAAACATTGGTTTAGGAATTCAGGAGGTTGGAGGAGGTGCAGAAGGAGGAGGAGGAGGAGGAGGAGGCGGGCCGCTTCCTCATCTTCCTCCAGCTCACCCTCTCCCCTCTCCTCCTCGACCAGGTTGAAAGGGATTATCATCCGGAGCAGGAGGACAATCCGTCGAATCACGAAGATGAATGTCGGGGAAGAAATGATAGTACATGGGGGAGGCGGAGGATGCGGAGAAGACGGAAGCTGTTGAGGAGGATGAGGAGGAACAGGGGTGCAGGAGGAGGAAGAGGTGGAGGAGCGAGCAAGCAGCAGCACGCCCGCGCCACCCAGGCCGAGTCACCGGACGCCCAGCAGGCGCTCAAGAACGGCAGAAGCGAACCCTCGCGCGGCCGGAGGAGCGGCCTCGCCCTGCTCGCCGCGCTGCTGGCAGCCCCCTTCGTCACCGTGCTGGCCGCCCGGCCGGCCCGAAACGCCCCCGACGGTCGGCCAGGCCTCCCCCCTGCTCCTCCCTCGGCGATGCAGAGGGGGGGGGGGGCCCTGCGCCCGTCGAGGGGCGAGGCACGATGACCACGACCGAGCAGCCGCGGGATCTCGTCGACGCTGGTCTCGCTTACGATCCGTGTCAGTCGTCGCCGATTCGCGAGGACGATCCGCGCACTGACGGTGACCAAGATGGAAGGTGACTGAGATCGACACCCAAGTCTCCGCGTTCAGTCTCGGTCATGGTCACCGTTTGGTTTCCCTCCAGCCTTGGCCATAGGGGGGTGCCCCTCCAGGACACTCCAAGGGGACTAGAAGAGGTTGCCTGCAGTTCCCTCAAGTCTTCCTGGCGACGTAGCGATATCTTGATGGGAGGCAGATCCCGTGCACGACTTACGGGACAGCCTCAAGCGATGCTGGATTTTAGGATCTGGCATGGCGGGAGAGCATGTCGGCGAGCTCTCATTGGGGGAGGATCGCACTGAGTTGAACCTCCCAGGAGCCCACGAAAGTGGCGACAGCTTTGCAGTTCGCAGCGCCCAGGGATGGCGAGGTCTCATCTTGATCTGGGTAGCACGGCGTTACACTGGACTTCCAGGAATCAACAATGTGGCGTGAGTTTCGTAAATCGCAGCGCTGAGGGACGTCGACGTCTTATTCTGATATGGGTCGGGCCGCATTGCGCTGGACCCCTCAGGAGCTCACGAAAGTGGCGACAGGTTTTCAGTTCGCAGCCCCCAGGGACGACGAGGCATGAGGTAGGGTCGGATGCAGGAGGACGGATACCGCAGCTCTTTATTCAAAACGAGTACCCAATGTAGGAGGGTTTGTAATAAGCGCGCACAAACCCATTTGCCTGGAAGAAGGCCCCGCTCCAGCCACCATCAAGGACATGGGAGCCAGAGTATCCTTCAAACATCGGTGGCCGCGACGTTTGAGAGGGCTCCAAGACGCATGCCCTTGGGTACCCCCCTTGCAAGCCCAAGAAACATGTCAAGTGCATGCCCCCCCACGGTGCCTGGTGACGATGCAAGTGCCTTGAAAGGCTCCCTCAATCTCCGCCTGGAGCGAGCCCTGCGCGGGGTCTCGAGGACGAGGTAATGAATGATGAGGGAAGGGATGCGGTCGGGGAGAGAGGGAGGGCAAGAGGAAGAAGAGGCGGACGACGAGGAGGACGAGTTAGAGAAGACGTGGAGGATGTCGACGACAACGATAAGAGGGATGATGGGGAGGAGGAGGGAGAGGTATGGGGGGCGGACCATGCCATCGTCCTCGAGAAACCTCGCGGGGCTCGCTCCAGGTGGAGCTCCAAAGGGCGTGCGGGGGCACCTGCATCGTCACGAAGTTCTGACCGATCCGCGGTCTTCGCGGCGTGCCTGCCAGGATGAGCAATGGAGGAGGGGATGAGCAGTAGGAGAAGCAGGTTGAGAAGGCAGTGGAAGAGGGGAGCAGTTGGATGATGAGGACAATGAGGAGGATGAGGTAGCAGGGTGATGATCATGATTCTGATGTTGATACTGATGCTTCTGCTGATGATGATGCTGCTGATTACGATGACGATGATGATTGACGGTAGTGACTCCGACGACGGCGACGATTATGATGATGGTGATGATGTTGATGATGATGCTGATTAGCGGTGATGAGGATGATGGTGGTGGTGGTGATGATGCTGATGATGATGATGACGATCTGATAATGCCGAGGATGGTGATGCTGATGCTGCTGATGCTGCTGCTGATAATGACGATGACGACGACGGTGGTGGTGATGATGATGCTGATATTGCTGATGGTGAGGATGATGAAGCTGATGCTGATGATGGTGTCGTTGATGTTGATGCTGTTGCTGATGCTGATGCTGATGCCGAGGATGATAGGCTGCTGAAAGTGATGACGATAATGCTGTTGCGATGGTCATGGTGACGCGGATGACGCTGACGATTGTGAGGACGAGGATGAGGATCAGGATGATGATGCTAATACTGATGCTGCTGATGATGATGATGATGTTGATTATGATGATGATGCTGATGATGTCGATGAAGATGATAATACTGATGCTGCTGCTGATGCTGATGCTGACGATGATGTTTATGCTGGTGATGATGCTGCTGCTGATGTTGATGTTGATGCCGAGGAGGAGGAGGAGAAGGATGCGTATGCGGATGAAGATGAGGATGCGGATGAGGATGATGAGGACCAGTCTTAGGATGATGATGATGATGATGACGATGCTGCTGATGATGATGCTGTTGCTGATGCTGATGCGGATGCTTGTGACGATGATGCTGATGGTTATGATGATGGTGTTGATGATGCTGATTACGCTGATGATGACGCTGCTGATGATGGTGATGATGAGGATGATGATTGCGACGGTACTGATTATGATGCTGATGATGCTGACGATGATGACGATGACGTTGTTGACGATGATGATGGTGATGCTGATGTTGATGCTGCTGATGATGATGCTGTTGATGATGATGATGGCGATGATGGTGGTGTTGCTGATCATGATGACGGTGCTGATGATGATGGTGAGGATGAGAGGAGCGGAGGGGAGAAGGATAATGAAGAGGAGGAGGAGAAGGAGGAGGATGAGGAGGTGGATCATGCTGCTGCTGATGATGATGACGCTGATGTTGATGTTGCTGCTGCTGATGATGCAGATGATGCTACTGATGATGATGCTGATGATGATACTGACGGTGATGCTGAATCTGATGTTGATGAGGGTGACGGTGACGGTGATGCTGATGATGCTGATGATGTTGATGAGCTGATGATAATGCTGATGATGCTGCTGATATTGTTGTTGATGATGATGATACTGATGATAATGCTGCTGCGGATGATGATGATGCTGACGATGACGATGACGATGATGACGATGACGATGATGATGATGATGATTATCATGATGATGATGATGATGATGATGATGATGATGATGATGATGATGATGATGATGATGATGATGATGATGACGATGCTGATGCTGATGCTGATGCTGATGCTGATGCTGCTGATGATGATGATGGTGGTGGTGATGATGATGCTGATGCTGATGCTGATGCTGATGCTGATGCTGCTGCTGCTGCTGCTGCTGATGATGATGATGATGATGATGATGATGATGATGATGATGATGATGATGATGATGGTGACGCGGAGGAGGGGGCGATGACGACAGGGACGGTGCGTTCTCATTCAGGTCCGCATAAGACCGCACTACGCTGGACCTCCCAGGAGCCCACGGAAGTCAGACAGTTTCGCAGTTCGCAGCCCCCAGGGACGCCGAGGTCTCATGCAGGTTGTTCTAGGGCAGCACTACGCTGGAACCACTCAGAGCCCATGCGAGTGGCGACATTTTTGCAGTTCGCAGCCCCCTGGGATGGCGAGGCCTCATTCAGATCCGCGTAGGGCTGCACTACGCCAGACACCTCCAGGAGCCCACGAAAGTGGCGACGGTTTCGAAGCTCACAGCCCCCATGGACGGCCGGGTTGGAGGCAGGTAGGAACTAGGAGGTAGGAAGCCGGAGACTCCGTCGGCCCTTCTGGAAGGCAGGGAGAAGGAGGGAAGCGGGATGATGGAGGAAGACGGCAGCAGTGTTCCTTTTCAAGACGAGAACCAAACTCATTGTTGGGAATCACGCTGCTTTTTCATGCCTTGCTGGGTTTTACTTGCAGCTCTCCAAGGCGGCCAGGAGGCACCAAAGACCCCAGAGGCGCCCCAGGCCTCTCCAGAAGGCCTCGTAATGACCCCTGATGGCTAACATCACGGATTTGTTTCAATGTTTTCCTGCATCTGTCCTCGCCTTTTCGGGGCTCCAACAGTCCACGGCAGCTCAGGGAGCCTCCAACGTCGGCCCAAGAGGCTTCTAAGACGGTCTCCGTAATTACGGCCCAGGAGGTCTCCAGGACAGCCCAGAAGGCCCCAAAGACGGCCTAGGCAACTTCCAAGGAGGCTCTGGATCGCGTCCGAGTTTGGTTATGTAGCTCCCATGGCGGCCCAAAGGATTCACCCCCAAAATGGCCTCGAGGGGTCGCAGACAGCCCCTGACGCCCGTCATCGCCCGTCATCGCCAAACATAAAACGCGCTCCACGCAGAGAAGCGAAAAGTTGCGGCACCATGGCCGTGGCCGTGGGCATCAGCGGCCCTAGAAGACACCGTTGAGCCGGGCGTCGGCCATGTAATCGTGCTGTCCCGGCTCCGCCATGTCCAGGGGAGCTTCCACCTGCACGACTTTAAACGGAGAAGGTTAAAGGCGAGGTATAAATCGAGCATGTACCGCTGCCGTGCCTGGCTCAAGCCGGGCCCGGCCAAATATGTGATTGTGCCTCACCGAGGCGCACGACTTGCATCAGAGATCGGAAAATACCTTTTCCATTGACGATGCCCATCCTATCCTTTACTCCAGATCCCATGCTTCGTCTTGCTCTCTTGCTCATGCGATATGAGCCAAAGCCTGGGATATGGCAACGCTTAAAGCGTAACACATACCTAAGCTTACCAGCTTGTTTTCGACTTGGTAGCGGAGCTGGCTACACTCTCGTGTGGCTGGCTCTCGCTCTGATTCCTGTAATCCACGGCACAACTTGGTGGACTACTACTACGGTGGAATACCATGTTGCGCCGGCTCTGCGAGGAGCGGAGCCAGTCCGCGATCGAGCTAGCGGGGCAACCCGCGAACTCGAGACGCTCTCTCCTACTTCACTGCGCCACTTCACTCCCGACTTCCACCAGATGCCAATCGGCAACTCGATCGAGAACGTGGTCACCCTGCGGGGCTACCCGCAGCGGGGCCACCTGCATCCCGTGCCAGTCAGGCGCCTCACGGCTACTACGCCAGAGCCTGACAAACCACAGCCTAAACCAATCACCGAAGCCGAAATGCACATGCACTGGATTAAGATAACTATCTTCGGCATTCTGTGGGTAATAATGGGATGTGCTGTGGGAT